GGAAAGGCCACTTAACTTCCAGACCTCCAGTGTCCTCCTATAAAATCGAGGCACCAGGGCACCTGGGTGGTGCAGTCGGTTGGGCATCCGACTCTTGATTTTGCCTCAGGTCATGATCTCAGGGTTGGGGGATCGAGCCCTGCATCGGGCTCAGGGCTGGGCTTGGAGTCCGCTTGGGATTCTCTTTCTCCCCCTGCCCCTCCCAAAATAAAATCAAGGTACCCATACCATGTCTACTATTTAGATACATATAATGATGGCGTATACGAGAGGAATTTCTGAGATGTGAAGAGAGGTGCTAACGTAAACCTGTCAAATTCTGCAAAAATTATATCATCAATGACGATGAAAAGAACAAGTCATGATCATGGTCCCTCCACTCAACCCTCGCCTTCATTGGCGAACCAACAGATCCTGCTCTTCCTCCACTAGGGGTCAGGAAAGGTCAAGATCACGGCCCAGTGCATCCCTAAGAAAACCTGGGGGCGCTCTGAGCTGGGTCCCCTTCTCCCTCCAGTTTGTGTCTGTGCTATAGCACAGGACTTCTCGATTTTGGCTGCAGGTCATGAGAGTAACCTGGAGAGCTTCAAAAAAAATTCCCGATGTCCACGTGTCACTCCTAGCTATTCTGAACCAATTGGTCCTGTGTGGGGCCTGGGCATCAGTATTTAAAAAAATTTTTTTAAAGATTTTATTTGACAGAGAGAGTGAGAGAGAGAGAGAGAGAGAGCACAAGCAGCGGGGAGAGGGAGAAACAGACTCCCCGCTGAGCAGAGAGCCCGATGCGGGGCTCGATCCCAGGACCCTGAGATAATGACCTGAGCCAAAGGCAGATGCTTAACAGACTCAGCCACCCAGGCGCCCCTTAAAATTTTTTTTAATTTAAATGTTTCATTTTTTTATTGTGATAAAACATCCCTAACAGAATTGACCATTTTGACTATTTCTTGGTGTGCATTTCAGTGGCATTAAGTACGTTCACTACGTAACTAACCCCCATCATCGGAACTTTTTCATCTTTTTCCAAAGTGAAACTCTGCACCCATTCAACGACAACTGCCCATTCCACTCCTCCCAGCCCCAGTAACCACCATTCTATGACCTAAGATCTCTATGGATCTGCCTAATCGAGATGCCTCATAGGAGTGGAGCCATACAATATTCGTTCTAGGGCACCAGCATTTTTAAAAAGCTCTCCAAGTGATTCTCTGTGCGGTGCAGACCAGAAGGTAGTGCGAAGCAAGAGCTGTGTATGAATTCATCTTTTGGAACAGAGAACAGCATAGGGCGTGGATGGAGATGGTAGTGGGAAAACTGGGGGGAGCAGGGCAAAATAATGGGAAACATTTCAAGGCTCTGCTGAAACAACATTTAGGCCAGATATTGTCTGCATGGACATCCAGCGAGAAGGGATGAGCTGTACGTGTCAGGGGGACCATCTGGAGCAGGAGATTTCGAACCCTACATCCTGGGTTTGAGTCTGCTGTGCCGTTAACTAGCTGGGGGTGCTCTCCAGTGAACCGCTTAATATTGCTGAATCTCACTCTATCTGCAAACTGGAGAGGATCTTAGCTACCTCTCAGCGATGCTGCCAGGTCAAAAGCAGAGGCAAAGCATGTAAAAGTGTCTACGGTATTACAAAATCCTATCTAGACGAGAGTTGTGGCTGCTATTGTAAATGGGTCACAATTGCTTCCATCCTACTTTATTTTTTAAAGTACGTTAGCCTTGATAAGAAAGGTCAAGAGAGCACCACTATTTTAAGGGGGGCCAATCTGTGACTACAGAATACTTAATTTAAAGGGGCTTAAAGACTGTTATAAATTAATTTCTAAAATCAAGTCTTACTTCCTGGGCACAAATAACCCTTTAAGAGTGCAGTCATTTTCAAGAGACAAGCTGGAAGGGTGATTATGTCATTTTAAAGCAAAAAGGCGTTCTAATTTGATAAGTGAATTGAAGAAGCATTAATAGACATCATCTCCTCAACTTCTTTCCTTTGTGCTTGATTCCAGCACCTGCCCTTTGTGAAGCACAACACACACACACACACACACACACACACACCCACACACACACCTCTGGTGCTCTTAATGTACTCTGGGTTTGTTTGGGGCTGTGTGTGTCTTATTCCAACAAGATGGAGCCAGGGTTAAACTGTGTCTTCTCTTTATTTTTCCATTTAATACTTTAAGTAATAAAGATAACTATTAGAGAAAAAGCATGCGTGCGGGAGAGAGAAAGAGAGAGAGAGGCAGAGAGAGAGGGATATGGGGAGGAGGGTGAAAAGGAAGGAGAGAGAAGCCTGATTAGCTTTGTCTTGCTAATGCACTTTGTTTTGTGGATGATGGGCCTTTCAGACAGAGTCAGACCACCTCACAAGTGGGGAGGCAACACAGAAGCAAGACAGCTCAAGTGGAAAGCTTTACTGGGGACAAAAGATGCACCTGCAAAGCACAGACTTAATGGTCTCTAGAGGCCAGGGCCGATGTTGGGAGATAAATGCCCCGGCACCACCTGAATGAGGTCCTGGCAGCGTGTTTGCCTGGATACTACAGTTAATTTATTTCCGAAGATGGTGGTTGCCCAGCAAGAGCGAGCTCTTCCTGCAATAAGCCTGAATAAGCCCAGTGGCATTACAAATGCACGGCAGCCTGTATACAAAAGGGCCAAGGGAAGGAAATGCAGTGTGGTAGGTAGAGGCGAGAGGCTGAAAGCTAAGACCCCTGGAGGAGTAATGAGTTGCTTATCAACGCAGTTCAATTCAGACTTGCTTCTAAATGAAAATCTGTATTTTAAGCCCAATATCAGATATTCTCTCCTTGGCTCTGTCCCAGAGCCTCACTGGTCACCAGCTAGCTTTAGCCTGTAGAACTAAAAGAACTTTGAAGGATCCCCCTTCCTTCTCCTTTCCTCCCCCTCCCTTCCTCCCTCCTTCCTTTCCTCTTGCCCGCTTCCTTCCAAGAACCAGATCCCTATCTGCAAATGAAATTAACTCATAAGTACACCAGATCCAAACAGAGGGACCCTGAATGAAGGCAGAGCCTTCACCTGTGGCCCTAGGACCTCTCTTTAGAAGCCAAGAGCTCAAGAGTCAGGGCTTGATTCCTCCTTTTGTTTGACAGGAAACGAAGATTCAGGGCATGAAGTGATTTCCCCAAATGAAGCCAAAGGTGCCCTGACCTCCAGTCTAATGTCTGTCACTAATATATTTCTTCCATGACAGACGTCTGCAACATGACATTAAACAGGTCAGCAAGTAAAATGTGGCTTGGACTGTAGAATGGTCAATATAACTTTAGTTTTCATGGCAAAATCCAAAAAATCTGATTTGGAAAGGAAAAACGGTAGCATAAATAGGACTGATCCTGGGTGGGGTGGGGGGCGGGGGAGAGGAAGCAAACGAAACCACAAAAGTTTAAAAGCAGATTCACCATGTCGTATATTCCTTCCCCCACATTTTCTGGTCATCGTCTGATTAGAAATTGCTAACAGTGAACACAAAGTCCTGTGTAATCAATGGTGTGACCATGGCCAAGACACCCAGGCGTTTTGGGTCTGCCTCCTCCATAACCCGTGAGGATTCTTAATCAAATGGTCTCTAAGGCTCTTCCCTTAGAAGAGCTTGAAGTTTCTCTGAAAGATTATGCTGTGCTCTACCACATGGCACCTGTATAGAGAACTTCTGCCCTCATTCATTCTCTATTAGAGCAGATGGACATTAAAGAAAAAGTAATAAAGTAGGGAGCCAAGGAAGAGAGCAACGCCTGCCATACTCCTATTCGTTCTTCAAGCCTCCACTCAAAATTCCCCTCCTCCATGGATTTTTTTTTTTGCCTTGGGCAGATTTTTTTCACTTAACATGTTTTCCCCCTTAAACCAGGTACCAAGAATTATTCCCTTGTTTAAATGCCTGGGATCTAACACAGTATCTGGAGCAATAAATCCTCACAATGTTCCATAAATAAGATGCTGAGAAATGCTATTATAATAAAATCCTCACTAGCAAAAAATCATTTGTTGAGGTTGTTTTCCGTCTCTCTCAACCAAACCAAATCAAACCAAACCAAACCAAACCAACTAGACCAAACCCCCAAATCACCACTTTAAAAATGACTTGGCATTGCTAAAATTTGTGAGGGGAAAAAAAACCCCCTTAAAATGTGGCATTGCAAGAATCCTTAAAAAATCTTCATTTCATTATCTTCAGTGGAGGAAAGCCCTGACTTACAGCTCTGAAAGGGAGCAGTGAGCTGAGAGCAACCCCTTTTATTCCATGGTGTAACAACTTCAAGTCCTATCTTTGATATTATTACAAGATATTTAAAAAACCTTGCTCTATTTTTGCAGCTAGTGCAAGTGGGATAAGCTTTGGTTTCTTGTCTTGTATGCTAGAAAAAACAAGAGATTTGGTGCTTGAAAATCAACAGAGGGAAACCTCAATAAATTGAGTTGGGAGGCCAGAAAGGGGAACCCAGAGGGGGGCCACTACCACTCAAATGCCAGTTGCAGGAAGAACTGTCAATTACAGACTTCAACAGATGTGTCAATTACCTACCACAACAGAGGACTCTCCAGCAGAAAAGAATCATGAATTACAGGCCCCCAACAGGGAAAGATGTACCTTGCATCTGTCCTATAAGAAATCTGCTACCCCTGTATCTCAGCCAATGAGACAAGTCAGTGCCCTGAGCTCTTAACTTTTCTCCAGTGGACTTCCATTCAAAACAACTCCTCCCAACTTCCTCCATCTCCTCCATAAAATGATGTTCCTCTCCTTTGTTTGCTGGGCTTACCTATGGTTTTGCCATAGCTTGTTTATCCAGAATTCCTATTTTTTGCTATTTCCAAATAAACCCATTTTTTTTCTCGTAAAATAACCACCTGTTCTATTTTGAAGGTTAATGGTGCACAGAGTTGGGGTTGCCCGAACCAGTCGTAACAGCATGAAACGGTGCCAAGCCTGGGACTGAAGAAAATGCATGAGAGAACAGACTCACCTTCTTTGACACTCAGTCGTGAGGATTGGTCTGTGTGGGAGGTTGTGTTATAGGCCAACAGTGAACCTGCAAGGCAAAGCAGAAGCAGGTTATAACGAGATGTTCTTCTGAGATCAAAGGTAGAAGCTGGGATGAGAAACGATTGGGGGGGGGGGTAGGGAAGAGGGACAGATGGCTCCTTGAGAGAAAGAAAGAGTTACTGGAATCCATCTTGGGGGGAATGTACTGGATTCCTGGAGTTCCCGTCAGAGTAAGTTAGGACGGAATACGTGTGCGTAGGACACGCACAGCCGTCCCCCAGCAGCCACGTTTACGATTCTGAAGTTCTTGGACATCCAAGCCATGTCATGCAGGAACACAGGACAGGGAGTCTCGCTGTGTGACTGTGGGTGAGTCTAGATTTTGATTTCTTCAGCCGAAAAATGAAGGAGTTAAACTACAGCCTGAGTCGGTGAGCTTTTCTTATAAAGACCAGATAGTAAATATTTTAGGCTTTGTGGGTTAAATACAGTCTCTGTTGCACATTTTTTGTTTTTGTTTTGTTTTGTCCATGGGCCAGAGTTGGCCAGATTCGGGCAGGTTTGGCCTGCAGTTTGTAGTTCTACCACACCCTGGAGGAGAAGCTACACAATTCCGGCCTGCTAGGATATCCTGTGGGTTCACGGGCAGGTCCTTTTACTGCTGGGGGAGGTGCTTGGATATTACTCGTTGTCAGTGGAGGGGAGTGTTGGGAAGGGGCAGGGGGTGGCCGGAGTTCCAGTAGCAACTCTTGGCCTTCCTCTGCAAACGTCTAAGAGAATACAACTGAATGTGAGGCATGGTAAGTTGAATTTTCTGTCATTCCAAAGGGCTGCTATACAGTCTCTTAAAATTAAACTTGAAGGTGTAACTACTCATTCCACGCCCTAGTCTAGGCATTTTCAGGGATGATAGTTTTTTTTCTGCTGCATGTAAAAACTCCCCCTTGCCCCTAAAACTAAGCTCGTTCCTCAGTTTCAAAAGAATTCAGGAATTTTGTTTTATAAAACGTAGGCATTTTTGCAGTTCTCCTTGAGGTTCGCCGGGGGCCGGGGGGCGGAGGGTGGAACTCTGAAGGGCTTTCAAAGACCAGGGCTGGAATATGCTTTTACAGCACACGTGATAAGCCTGCCAGAGGTGCTTGAGGCTGGAGAAGTCTTTGAAAATTTTCCCTTCTCTGTGCAGACGGGTGGCTGACTTGGGTGCCAGGGCTGAGGACAGGGGATGGGCTGTCAGACGCTCCTATTTTTAGTCTCCAGTCATGGCAGGGATGCCGGAGTGGAGCTGCTTGCTGCCTCACCCAGCTGTGGGCGTTTGGTTGTGTGCCTCAGAGAAAATGTGTCCCTTCTAGGCCAGGCGACGAGGAAGGGAATTGTATAAGAATCCCCCAACTGCCCAGCACCGATGACTTTTGGCTTGGGCGACTGTCACTGCTAGCCCCGAGAAAGGGGCTCCAAACAAAAAAGAGGAGGGGTGGAGGTGGTATCGAGACCACAGTATGCCGAAGTGTGGACACGTGCAGACCGTTTTAGAAATGAGCCAGTCTTGGGTGCCTGGGTGGCTCAGATGGTTAAGCGTCTGGCTTCGGCTCAGGTCATGATCCCAGGGTCTTGGGATCGAGCCCCACATCGGGCTCCCTACTCAGTGGGGAGCCTTCTCCGTCTCCCTCCGCCCCTCGCCCCTGCTCTGCTTTCTCTCAAATAAATAAAATCTTAAAAATATAGACACGAGACAGTCACGTGCATGTAATATCCCGAAAACCAGATGCATTTGGTTAGCCCAGTCTCAAAAATACCACAAACCAAGTGAAGCCGGGACAACCTCATTTCATTATAGTTATTATGCAAATGAGAGTTGAAAGTTAGACCTGTCTCTTACCACTGACTAGCTTTGTGACCTCCATCAATTTACCTAATCTCGCTAAGCCACAGGCTCCTTATATATAAAATGGGCTAGTAATAACAGCCACTTAACACGGTTGTTGCGAGGATTGAATAAAATAATACGTGTCAAGTGCTCAAAAAAGATCTTGGTTGCTAGTGAGTATGCAGTAAATGCTGGTTGTTATCATTACTATTTTTACATCCTATCTCCCACAGACACCACAATGACATACAATAAACCCTTTATAAAAGAGCTTGCTGAGCGTTCATCGTGTCCTCTGGACCTGGAGTTATGAATGGGTTCTGCTGCAATAAGAAATAATCCTCCATGACTGGAAGGAGGTTAAGAAATAGAACCAAACGTTCCAAGGGAATAGAAAAATGAAAGTCTCAGGAGTAAGACCAAGAATGTCTGCCTCTCTGTCCCCGACATTCTCTCCCTCAGGCTGAAACCTCACGGCTGGAGCAAATAAAGAAAAATGATGGTCTCAGAGGAGCAAACTGCCTGAGTCATTAGTGCAGATTTAGCTGAGAGCACGAAGCTTAGATAAACCACATTTATTAAATTTTCCCCTTGCTGAAAGTTCTTCTTTGGGTACATATGAATTCCACAGGAAACTCCCAGAAAGCCAAGAGAAAGGGTCGTTTGACCCCCGCAGACCTTGCATGAAATACATATTTCATGGTAACCTAGGAAAAGGATTTTGCCCTGAAGACCGTTTTTGGTTCAAGTTTCACTCCTGGAAGGAGGGACTGGTTAGGGGCATCTGGCCTCCTTCCCAAGGGACCAACATCCCCTTCTCTTCTCCGATTTTTATTTGACAAGTTCTTCAGGCTACAGAGGATGGCACAGCACATGCTTTTCTTACGGGAATTTGTTCTGATACAAGAAGGTCCTTCCTGGAGTCTGGCCTCCCACTCGGTGGCTTTGGATTTTTTTCTCCCGCTTTCAGGCTCCTTCTGTGCGGGGCTAACGTGAGTCCTAATCTTTCCTGACACCATCCTGTCCAAGAGAACAGGCTGTGATGGGCAGAGGGAAGCCAACACTCCTGAATGCAGTAAGCACCAGACACTTTATATCTATTCTCTCACTTACTCCTTACCCGAGCCCTGTGAAGCCAGTATCACGTGCTTCTCCTTTTACAAATGAGAACATCAGCATTCAGAGAAGTCAAGTAATTTGCTCAGGGTCACACAGCCAGAAAGCCCAGGAAGCAAGATTCCCGTTCTTGTCTATCTGCAAAACCTGTTCTTGGTCCAGCAGACCCCGCAGTCCTCAGGCTAAATCTAAGAAACAGACAAAACTCACGTATGGTGTTGGGAATCAAGACAGTGGTTACCTTTGGGGAGGAAGAAGGGGAGGTGACGGAGAAAGGGTACAAGGGGGCTTCTGATCTCTTCCTTGACCTTGACCTGGGGGTGCTCATACAAGTGAATGGATTCCCTTTGTGATAGTTCCTTGGGTTGTGCATTTATGATTCTTGCTTGACTCTGTATACTTCCATTAAAATGTGTATTTATTTGCTTATTTACTGTTATTAATGTATGCATGCAGATACACACACACACACACACGCTGGTATATATATATATATATACACACATATATATGTGTGTCTGTATATATATTGATTTGCTAATTTGGGGCCCGGAAAAGCACGAAGTGGCTGCTGCTGAGAATGAAGTGCCCCCCCCAAGTTGAAAGCATAAGGAAAAAATAATTTTCCATTTTGGAGTCCATCCATCACTGGATATTGTATTAGGGATCTGAAAGAAGATGGAAATGAACAGAGTGAAGCTCTGCAGGTGTGAAGCAGTGCCCCAACAATGGGGCTTTCTTCAGCTCTCCAATCCCCCAGCCTAACCTGCTCTTCATCTGGGACACCTGGAGCAGGGGAGACAAGGGTCTGGCTGGTGCCAAAGCCTTTGTCTCCTGCCCTGCAGCCTACTGACTGTGGGTCTCCCTTTCTCTGGGCTGCAGTGAGCAGCGGTGGGGGGGGGGGGGGGGGGGGGGGGGGGGGGGGGGGGGGAGGTGGGAGGAGGGAGCAGGGAAATAAGGCTCCTTGTTCCAACCGTAGACCAGGCTGACTACGGAGTCCAGGGGAAATCTGGCCTTTTGTTGTGCCCAGATCCTGTGCTCTTTTACTGGTCAGACCCTGGCCTGGAAGGGATAATACCTCACCAGCTTAATTGCCAGGACCCATCACCTTTGCCAGGCCCTCTGAGGCTGCCGGGGGGAATGCCACAGAACACAAAATGTGTTTTCCATTAAGTTTAAATTAAAAATGGGAATCAAGATAGATACCTTTTCTGCAGTCTCCCTGTCACACAATATATTTCTTTCTCTGGTGCCACCACGATTGAAAAACACAGGGTCTTAGTATTTTTCACAGATCAGACTCAGAAACACTTATGGAGCACAACTTTTTGTAAAATGAAAAAAGACTCTTCTTCCTTCTGCCTCTGGATGCTCCAAGCCCAGGACCTTCTGGGTTCCCAGAAACCCCAAACTCCCCCCAACCCCCGAGAATGAACTGCCAATCCGGACGGCTGTCACTTCCTCTGGGGTCCGGCCCCACTGTGCCTCGTGTTGGCCCAATCTCACTTCCCTCAGCCCTCCGACGGTAAATACGGCTCCTGCCAACCGGGGTGTGCCCGACAGAGATACTGGCCGGGCCGCCGGTCAGCTCCAGGGTGTGGGGCGGCGCCGGGAAGAGAGGACAGGGTTAGTGTGGTGATAGGTTTGGCTTTAATCTGCCTCATTCCAGGAGGCCACGGGGAAGTTTCGGAAAGCTTTTATCTCTTGGTACAAATGAACACAGAACATGCTGTGGGGAAAGTGGCCCGGCCCTCCACAGGAAAGCCCCAGGGGACAGAAGGGAGCTTAGCTCGAGGTCTGTCTCGGGTCCTCTCACGTCCAAGCATGAGGCTGTGGGCCCGGCTGCAGACTGGGACTTAAGAGGCCTGGGTCTTAGCTACCAGGCTGCTCTCCACTAGCTGTGTATGCCTTTGAACCACTTTCTAAAGCCCTCCAAACCTCGGGTGCTTTGGCTTTAAAATGGGGATTAGACATGGTTGTCCACGTGGTGTCCACAAGGGGGCGTCCTGCCCATGTGCTGTGAATGCACACCTGAGCTCTGGTGTCCCTGGGAGACTCCAGAATCATCCCAAGTACTATGGGCATCCTCCCTGGGCCCCGCCCTCACCAACCTCCTCCAGGGTGGGTAAAGTTAGAGGGCGGGTGTAGATGGTATGGTCACTCGATCTGGGACTGCTGAAAAGCCAAGGTATGGAGCATAAGCACCTCCAAAGGGGCCAGATAAATCCTAGCATGTCAGGCCATCGAGACAGGGCATAAGGGCACCCGGGACATTGCTATTTTTTCTCTACCTTGGAAAATAACATTTTAAAATTTAAGGTTGCCTCCAAGGCAACCCGAATCAATACTCAAGCACCGTTTGTGAAAGTGTGAATTGGATGCCCGAGCTTCTTATCCTACAAGGTTTCCTTTTTTCTACAGAAGTCCAGAAAGATCAGATACTCTGGAGTGACAAGAGGGCCTCCGATGTTCTTCCGTTGACTTTCCTTAGCCCTAAGCACCTCCTCCAACTGTGTCGAGGAGCTCAGCTCTTTTCTTTTCACCTCTTGCCAAAGTGGACATGTTTGAACCCCAACCCCCTCTTCGACAAAAGGACAGATGACAAAGCACAAGGAATTAGCACCCCTTTCCCCTGCCTCAACTCAGCTGCCCCAGCCTCTGTCCCCAAAGCACTGGCCTCCCTGCCTCAGCACAAAACATCCGCTGGAAGTAAGTCTGGAAAAACAATAAAGTGTTTGAAGGCAGGGAGTTCCCATCCTGAGAGCAGACAGCCCCCAGGCACATGGCCTGCTGGCAGGGGTCTCAGCTGGCTAACTACCACCCAACACAGAGGGTCCCAGAGGCTACCATGCGAAGCTAGACATCAGTTGAAAAGAAGCATGAATCAAGTTTTTTTTTTTTTTTTCCCCATGAAAGTGGATCATTTTAAGTCTAGGTTCCTCAAAAGGGCTTTAGACTATGACAATACTGTGCTGGGGCATGTTTTTTCTTGAACCTTCGCACAGGATTTTAATTTTTGCCTCTGAAGGCAAACGTGGTTTTTACATCAATGCTCCTGGAGCACTTTATATTCAGCTGTTTCGCTCAACATTGTATCAAATATGTACTTTGTTCCATCTCCTCTCCACCCTGAAAATTTGCTCCACTCATTAGCTCTTCTCTGCAAACTTCATATTTTTATTGCTGTGGGGCATCTTCCTCAATATCTACAAATATTTTTAAAAAAGAAAGAAGGAAAGCTGCAGCAATGCCTACGTTTTCCTGCCCTGTGGCCTGTACCTCCGAAACACCAATCCTCCGGCCTCCACTGCTTCACCACCTGCTCACACTCCTTTGCCCTTTAGTTACCTGTGCCCCTCTGTCGTGGTTACACGGACCCCCCTAGCAAATGACTAGGCCTTTGGGGCAGGTACTTGTCTCACTTCAGGGTCTGTGGCTTGGGTTCTTCGGTGGCAGGAAATCCTAGCTGGGACTTGGGGGGGTTTATGGACCTGCCAGAAAGCAGGCCTGGGAAATCACATGGCATGAATGGCTTTCCAGCACGTGAAGTCGGAATGTGCTTGAACATCTCCCCAACAAAGGTATCTGCCATGGAACCCCAAATTACCGGTCCCTTAAAGTGTTTGGACATGCTGTCCCTGCTGCTGCTGGTCCTCTCTTCTCCCACAAAGGAAGTAAAGGGGCCAGTGATTCTGGACCACTGATGCCTGAAGAAGCCGAAAGGCAGGCTTCATGGGCATTCTTGCTCTGCCGGTCTCTGCTTCTCTTGCTCATTCCCACCCCCGGCCCTGCCTGGCTAGCATCGTGGCAGGACTCTGCGCAAAGAATCTTTTTTTAAAAAATTCCGTAAACACTTGAAAGCTGAGAAATACTGATCATTAGAAAATGTTAATTCTCCCAAGCTCAGGAAAAACTGGGTAGAGAATCGCCCCCTTTTCTGAACTTGTTTCTTGGGCTGACCTCATGCTGCAGCAAGACTCAGACATGAGGTAACTGCTCTGGTGTTAACATATACTGCATCATCCACACTCTCTCACTGGTTACCAGACGCCTCGGAGAGGTGACCAGAGAGTCCAGAGGCACCAGTGGAAACTTCCAAATTTTTAAATTTTATAACCAGTGTGTGTTGCTCCCACATCATGCACTGTTGTAGAATAAGGCAGAAGGTTACAGAGATGGTGACTCTGAAGACCCACGGAAAGACGGGGAGCGAAAGAAGAACTAACCAACCCAGAGCCCAGGAGGCCAGGAAAGCAGCCCTTAGGCGTATCCAAAGATCTCAGCTTGGAAAGGGCTTGAAAATCATCACACTCCTTCATTCCAAAGCTTAACTCCTGGAAGATGCCAGGCAGCCTCGGCTACGGACAGCAGATACTACATCCTGAGGTTGCCCGTCTCTCCCTGCTCAGGGCTGACTGTTACAAAGCTTCCTTGTAGAAAGAGCCCACATCTGTTTTCCTGCAGCTTCAACTCCCTGATCTCAGTCCCATCTTTTCTGGCCGCAGACAAATCCTTCAATACTTGGGGTCATTGATATACCACTGGGCCTGGATTTCTGGTGAAGCGTTTGGGCTGAGGTTACTAGCATGCCTGAAACAATTCTGTTCCTATCTCTGTGTATGTTTAAGACCAAATGAAATTCACATGAAATTGATGGGAGCTTGGTGTCTGAGAACTCTCATACTGGATAAATCTTTTGGGCGATGACATACTTTCTTTCATAAAATCTTGTCTGAAGCTCTCTTCCTTCTTGCTGTGCCAGAAGAAAGTGTCCCAGAGACCCTCACACGCCCAGAGCCTCTGCTGTGCTCCCTGTTTGGCTAGCAAGGGTGTGTAGCTAGCAGCCGGCAAAGGTGGGGTTTGGGTGCGCCAGAGTGACCCCAAGAATAAGAGGAAGTTAATGTGTAAATTTTCAAAACCTTAAATCCTAAATCCATGGATCTAGAGTTTACTGGAGGAACTTTAAATCATTGTGCAGGAAAAATCCCAGCCAGGGTATCCATCTATTTATAATTACAGGGCAAGGCAGTTTCTGGAAAGGGATTCTCATGGAAACAGAATGACTATACTCTGGCAGACCCCACTGGGTCACAGCTCCCTACTTTTTCTCTATTCCTTACTGTGTTTCCCTTGACACTACAGGACTGGGTCAGCCCCCTTGCAGAGTCTGTAGGAGCCAAGGTGACCTTGGCAACCTCACAGGCCCTGGGGTGGGGCTCCTGCAGCACCTGCCCAGCCTAACCTGACTGGGGCGGGGGGGGGGGGGGGGGGGGGGGGGGGGGGGGGCGAGGAACCAGTTTCCTCTTCCTGGATTGGCTACATGGGAAATCAGTGTTCATTTGGGGTGGGCCTCGTAGAGTCTCCTCCTCCCAGCCCTGGGGACTCCGGCTCCACCTGCGCGCAGCCCGGCGGGGCTCCCCGGCCCACACACAGACAGGACACTTACTTTCCCTGAGATAACTGAGATGTGACAGCAGCACTTCGGTGTTGTAGAGGGAGGTGGCTCGGAGGAAGTCCTCCTTGCTCATTTTACACAGTTCCTTGCCATCCATGTTTTGGAAAAAGGATGTGTCGATCTCCATCAAGCCATACTCCTTTATCGCCCACTCCAGCCACTGCCGGACGTGCTCCTGAGTCCACAGCGTGGGGTCTGCAGGGGAGACCACCTGTTAGCAAGGGCTGGGCCGGCCAGGACTCCCTCCCCTTCACGAACGCCTGGGTAGACCCTCTCTCTCCCCCTCCCTCCCTCTCCTCCTCCCCCCAGCACCTCTCTGGCCCCCTTTCCCCCTCTGTCCCCCAGTGGGAAAGTGGGTTCCCTCCCAGACGGTTCCCTCCTAGAACTCCCATCTGGCACTGCCTGAACCACTCAGCCCTCTGGGGAGGTGCTTAGATGTCTCCCGAGGCATCCTGACAGAACATGCTCTTTAAAGTTTTTAGAGGGCAATTAAAACCTTTGCCTGAGAAATGGTGGCATCAAAATGAAAGTATACACAGTTGCACGGACCCAGGGACCAAAGTCTCTGGAAAGGGAAATCATCTGTATCTTAAGAACATTAGTGATTTCACGGAAGAACACAGATCTCTCTGATGGCTACGGTAAAGATCGCATATGTATATACTTTTATCGCAATTTCATCTGTATAGTTGGAAAACCCAGCGGTGTTAGCATTTAACATAAATCCAACCTGGGTTTTTCTCCTTGTGGAGACAGCTGTGCTTAAATCTCTACCAGATCATCCCCAAAACATTTTTATGATATTGAAGTCCCCAAAGATGAGAAAAAGTATTGGAGAAAGAAAACCTTTCAGGCCTTTAGCCTTTGAGTGAACATAAATAATGTAATGACTGAGGTCATCTCCAGCTAGGACCCTCACAGCTCCTTTTTGGCTAGGTGTGTGTGTCATGGGGTGTGTGTAATACTTTGAGTGCTAGTGATGAGTTCCAGCAAGTTCCACAGCAGGTAGAGCACTTGTATCTTATCACTTAATCACAGGCTGGAAGCCATCTCTTTCCTTGGCGACCAATTGTTAGCAAATCCAATAAACATCTTAGATATGCCCATCATAAAAAAAAAAATACCCATCATACAAGAAAACTACCTGGCTCTTAGTCACATGAAAGATCTGTCGGGATGAAACATTTAGGCGGGAAACCACATACTTAAGCAACAGATTTTGTGGTGGTAGTTAAAGGAATCATGGGTGGAGGGAAATAGTGTGAACTTGGAGAGTCTCAGAAGGCTTCCTGGAGGAGGGGAGGAGACTTGACATTGTAGGTCTGCTGTCAGCCCCTGGCTTCTACTGGGCCTGCTTTATTAGCATGTTTACTTGGTAGGAGTATCTATGCTGCTTCTCAACCTCCTCACCCTCCCATTCTAAGAGTCTGTGAAGGTTCTTGGCAAAAATGGGGACCAGGTTTGAATGATTAGGAGTGACCATGGGAAAGGAAGCAAGGTTCTGTTGCCTTCCTCACACCAGATGCAAATTCCCCAGCACTTTTACTCAGAGCTTCTGCTGATTGCCCTCGTTTGCCATGGGTTCTCCATTCCTCCTTGGTTTTTATATGTGAGTATGTGGGTGGCTGGGGCTGAGACCGCTTTGCAAAGCGCCCAGCCTCCGCCCAGGTGCGGGAGTGGGGTTGCCATATTGGTGCTGGAGGTAGAGGAGCTGGCCAGAGAGAAGAGAGTAGAATTTGGAGTTATGGGTCACAGGCTGCTGTGACCCCAGATTTGGGGTACCTACTATGTGCAGCTGCCCTACATGTCCCATTTTTCACATATCTAGAAAATCCAGCAAAATGGCTTTTATCTTCATTTTGCGATAGAAAGCGGAGTTTTGAAAAGTGCAGTCCCTAGCTCAAACTTAAGTCTTCCTAGGACTTCGCTTAGTGGATGGGATGGGTCCCCCTGACCCGAAGCCCCTCCTCTTGCCTTTTCATGATCCTGCCTTAACTAACCTGTGAACTGTTCTGCTATTATGCCAAATAACAGAGCTCCTTCTAACGGTTCGTTGTATATTGTACAAGTTCAAGTCCATATGCGTCTCTCTCTCTCTCTCAGATAAATTTCTTGGTTTGTTTTCCTCTTTTACTCTCCAGAAACAATTAGGCACGGACCATTGGTAAATGGAAATATTTTGCACCATTTCAGAATTCTAAAGAAAAATGGCACAGGTGGGGCTTGGGTTACACAGCATTTTATTTCATCTGATCTCCTTTGGTTCTCCTAATTCCTCACTTTTAGTATTCGAGGCCTCAAATTCAATTTTACACCATATATTTAATTTATTTTATTATTTCCTCTCTTGCTTTGGGCTCTATCACAATATTATTTCTCTCCCTTTACAGCACAATGAATTATAAATCTTCCACTCTGGATCATGCTAAACTCTTCCAAATGTATTTCCTGGATGATTTAGTCCTAGTTTCTTCCCATCTGAACCTGAAACTGGTGATTAACCAGGGCCCTCGTTTATACTTGTCTTAAAAATCCCACCATAAATTCAATCAGTTGTTCCACAAATGTTTTATTGCCTTAATTTGTGGACTCACCCAAATGAGACTTTCCCTCATATCCAGGAGGCTGGCCTGGAGGAATCCAAAATGTCTAAGGATAATGTTTAAAGATCTCACCAGAGGTAAAATAATGAAGGAAATCCATAGCTAGTGATTTCATGACAAGAAATGCTTTAAAAACCCTGTGGTATGAATTTACACTATCATCACGATTACTGCTATGGTTACCTTGGTCCACTGAGGACTGACATTTTGATATTTCAATACCAGTTCAGAGTTGAAGGGTCAAATGAGCATTCTGGCCATGTTCGCCCCCTCTCACCTCCCAAAAGTGACTGCAGAAATGAGATGGTTATCGACATTTGGTTCAGAGACAATCTCTGATCCCCTACGTCTTCGGTACTCAAGACTGCCTTCCCATGCTGGCCACGGTTGGGGTGAAGCAGGGCAGCTTGATGCCAGGTGAGCAAAGGCCTGGTGAGGTTTGGCTCTGCTTAGGGAAGAACAGGGAAGTTCCCACCATGTCAGCTCTACTATTGTTTCATCGTTTGCTTTTTTGATGAGAAGGGAGAAACACGGTTTGCTTGGACCTTACCAATGCACCTGAGCTCAACTTTCCTGCTGTCCTGAAGGAGGGAGGAGATCAAACGTTAAATGGTAGAAGTAATGGAATGTAGAGAAAGCAGTTCATATGGTGCCTGGCACCTGCAAAGTGCTCAGAGAATGGGAGTTATTCTTCCTCTTCCTTTGTCAGGTCACATGCTTGTGGAAGAAGGAAATTCAAACTCCTTTGCGAACAGTTTTCAAGTCCTACAGGGTACTGTAGGAAGAGGCCCCATTAGCCCAGGTTCTCCTGCCTCACTGGCTCTCACACCTCGCACCCCCCGCCCCCACCATCTTGCATTTGGCCCAGAGCGCAGGGATGCGGCCGTGGTCCTCACAGATGGTGAGACACAGCTTGCCCTGGAAAATAAATACAAAAGGGCATCGGGAGGAGAGGCTCATTACAAAACCATGCCTTCCAGACCAACAAGCAAATTCCTTTGCATTACCTCAAAGAGATATCTAATCCTTTGCCCTCAGACACAACTGCGTTTACACTTTTCCAAATGGAAGGGGTTTTGCCTTTTTGGTCATGTTATTCGGGTAAGATTAGTTGTAATCCCTGCCCTGTAATTCACTTTGCTTAAGATTTAGACGTTCTTGCTCCTTCCACCTGGCACCAAGTCTACATGTTGTCGTTTTCAAACCCCCTTTCTGACCAGGCTGCTAAGCTTGCTGCTCTAGCCGAGGTGGAGCGTCCAGCCAGGGGACTGAAGGCTTGAACAATGATTTTATTTTCTGTAACCAACAGCACCAATACCTAGGAAAAATAGGCTATTTTTACATAATGACCTAACTTGCTGCACACGTTAAGGCGCTCCATTTGTTAAATATAGTTATTTCTATTTTGAAACTGAAAGAACTGGTTGTAATTTTGGAAAGGTGGGACCCCGCAGATGCCAGGAAGTACATGCCTGATGGACACGACAGACCTCTGGAGCCACCCTTCTCCTTCAAGGCGAGGGCGGGCCTGTCGGGAGTTCCTGGGACTCCTTTTGGATTCAGACGGCCTTGCCTCTGCCCCTTTTGCAGGCCTCAACTTGGGGGACCAGGTCCCCGGGGGAGAGTCTGTGCTGTGACCTGTTTGAGGGTGCTGGTGACCTGGGGGATGCTATCTTGAAGGACAGTTGGAAGGAAGTGAGAAATGCAGCTTTCCCAAGTAGCCATTTCCATAGGGAAGAGGGTACCAGGTAAAGGTCTAGATGCCCACTGGACAAGCCTGCCCTCCAACTCCTAGCGCAGAGAAGGGAGGACACGGATGCCAGCCGGCAGCCTGGTTCCCAAAGTACCTGCGGGGACGATGACTCTCCTCTCGTTGGTGGTCATGTTCGGAGGAGGGGGGCCATTCTTCTCGTCCATGTAGCTGTTGTAGTTCATGGCATTGGGCTCGTTTCCACCAACTAGCTTGCTGCATTTGCTAACACTGCAGTCCACCGGAGACTCCCTGGAGTGAGAAGACACAAAGCCCAGAGGAAGTCATCACTGCAGCTTCCATCAGCCCAGCGTGGGCAGACAACCATGGCGCCGTGTCCCAGCCCCACGTGGTGTAACGCCGCCGCCGCCGCCTTACTTCTCTCCTCCACGCCGCCACCAGAGTCTTCTTCGAATCCCAGCCCAGTCCTATAATTACGGTACTTAAAAACTTTTGGCAAATCCTCACTGGCCTCGGACTACAGTCTGGACTTCTTAGGACGGTGCTGCAACCCTCCCAATCTGACTGTGGCTGACATTTTTAGCCTTGTTGCCAGGCAAGCTGCACTCCAGCCGCATGTGCCCCAGCCCGGCCCCCAGGTGGCCCCCAGGCAGCCCCCAGGTAGGCCTCTGCACCCCACATGGTGCTCTGTCTGCCTTGGTTCTAGCACTAGTCACTCCGTGGGATCATTAGCGTGGTGGGAGCTTTTCCCCTGGCTGGACTGGGAGTTTCTGAGAGGTGGACATTCCTTTCTCCTTTAAACCTCAAGGTGTTAGGTAGAGCCTTCCAGAGGAGATGAGTGATCGATGTTTTCTGAGTGGACTCTATCTATTGCATGTATATGATTTTAATGCATTTCTCGTACACTGTTCTATCTGAACTTCCCAATACCCCTCCAAGGTAGCCATGGCAAGGGTTCCTATCTCCACTTTATGGTTAAGGAAACTGAGAGGTGAGGTGACTGGCCCAGGCTCACAGAGCTAGTAAAAGTGGACACAGGACTCAGGTCTTTGGTGTTAAGCTTTCCTAACAAAACACACATGCAGGCATGCCTGGCTGGCTCAGCTGGTAGAGCATGTGACTCTTGATTTTGGGGTCCTGAGTTCGAGCCCCACATTGGGCAGAGAGTTTAAAACACACACATACACATGCACGCACGCCCACAAACGAGCTGGTTGCTGCATGAAGAGGGAACAGAATTCAAGAACTTCAACCTGATAGGTTGTGGCCCTGGTGGCAGGTTGCAGCTCTGGCCACCACGCTCACAGAAGAACCATAAGGAAGTGCAGAAGGGAAAAATCATCCAACCCAGCCTTGATGTCCGTAGCCCAGTTGGAGGCTGCTCCCTGGCATCAGCCCAGCCTTGAGCAGCTGTCTGGAGATCTAAGCTGACACCCCACTTGTGGCCCCCCAGAGCCCGGGGGTAGGCTGGCAGAATGCTCCACACCGCCCCCCCAGCCCAGCGTCATGGTCCCCGCCCCCTCCCATCATGCCCAGGAGAAGTGCCATCCCACCTTGCCCCAGCTTCCGTTCAGCCACTGCAGCTGGGGACGACTAGAAGGCCCCGGAGAGGCTGCTGCCGCAGTTACACAGTGCAGGAAGCATCAGACCTGGGACACAGCCAGTTCTCTCAAGAGCTCCAAACCAGGCCTTTCAGACCAAGGAGTTCAGATAAGGTTCAGATTACAGCGGCCCAACCTTGGGCAGCAGAAAGACTCCAGGCTTTCCAAAGGCCTGGCCGCTGCTCTCCTTACTCTGCCCTGGGCAGGGACCAACCATCCTGAGGACTTAAGGAGCCAGGTTGTGCCAGGAGGGCCTTGCCCATCCCGCGGCTGGTGGCCACACCTCCAGAGGCAGGGAGGGCAGTCCAGATCGCAGAGGAAAGGAAGAACAGCCCCGGGCGGGCGGGGGCGGCGCTCAGGCAGGGCAGGGGGGCCAGAGCACATTCAATAAAGACAATTAAATGAATTTGTTTCTTAATCTGAAAGGAAAAAAATATTGAAGATCACTTATCATAGCTGGGAGATAAATGGTCCACTGAGATATTAGAAGTCAGACGGTAATTTTTTCCTGATGTCTTACAGAGGGGAACATGGGCTGAAAATGAAAATAAGATGTATAACTTACACATGTTAGAATTTAAGGTTTTACTATTCGCCTACTGTTTTTCCAGGCAGAGAACCAAGAACCAGCCGTCAGAGCCCCAGATTGTTGAAGGTTTAATGTCCCCATGGCAGTCTGAGGGGAGGCAGTAGCACATCAGGGCTTTTCACCAGTTTGGCCCTCTGGCTTCTGCTGTTGAAGGCCTTGGCCGGCCGTGAAGCCAGCCCAGCAAGACCCTGGCGCTGCTTCCGAGCTGAGCCCGCGCCCCCGCGCGCCGTGCCCCCCGCCCTCCTCCCGGCCAACCGCGGGCGTGCGCCTGCGCCCACACGCGAGCCCACGCACCCATGCGTGCGCGCCCACGCACCCATGCGTGCACACACACACACACACACGCTCACCCCCGACACATGCACGCGCGGCCGCGCGCATACACACACACACACACACACACACGTATACACACACACTCACTGGCAGCCTTTCCCAACATCCTTGTCCATTGTGAAACAGCCCAAGGGCAGCAGGAGTCTGAGGATTAAGTTGGCCTTCCACCAAGGGAGCAGCGCTTTCATTGGCTGGGAACCCCCGCGGCGGAGGGTGGGGTGGCCCGAGCACACACTTCCTCTGGCGGATGCCGGAGTGCAAGGGCCGTGGGCAGGGGCGAGAAAATTCTCAGAAAGGAGAGCAACGTCCAACGGGGGGCGGGCGTGACGGGAGAGGGCTTGCTGCTCGGCAGCCTGCGCTCCCCGTGAGGAACATCAAGGAGTCGAGGTTTGGGAAATGATGTCCCGTGTCGGCTGGGCCTCTGGAGGTTGCTGAGCCGAAAACTGACCTCTCACCATGCAGAGGTGAAAAGTCAGAGCCTCAGAAATTGCCGAAGTGGGGCGACCCTTTATGCCATGGAGCGGGCATGGTCTCCCTGCTTTATTGTGGCCGCCCCAGGCCCTCTTGTCTCCTGTCCCAGGACTCTCAGCTGCCTGTGGGCCCCAGGACGGGGCCAGGCCTTGGTGCCAGGAAGAGAGAGAAGTAAGTTTGAAAAGAGGAAACATTTGGTAAAAGCCACCTGGTCTGGGACGGGGTAAGAAGAGGAGCCATGAGCACCAAGGTGGGATGGGCACCTGCCGGGGGAGGTGGGCTCCCAGGTCACAGGATCGGCGGGGTCCCGGAGGAGGACATCAGAACCACCGTCGGGACCAGGGTTCTCTTGCTGGGGTGACCCCTGGGGGCTGTACGGGAGTGGGAACCTCCTCATTTCCTATCCCACAGAAGTTCTCGTCTTTCTGCTTCCTCCTGTCTCCTTCCTCCAGCACCTCTGTAGGCTCCTACTCCCCAGCTGTGCAAGGTGATGCGTCTGGACGCCCACTCTTGGGTACTCCTCCTCTGGAATAAGGCCCTGTCCTCGCTCCCAGTCCCCTCCGCCAGGGGTGCCCTCAGAGAAGCCTGGCACCACCCTGGACCATCACACTTGCCCGGGCTGGCCCTCCCCTGACTGCGCAGGGAGAAAAGGAAGGAAAGCCGTACCTTTACCGCCGGCCTGCCGCCCTCCCCTCTTGGCAAGCTCTTGGGTGCTGTGCCTCCAGCAGACAGCAACCGCCTGACGTGCGGCGCTGGGGCTTGACAGCTATGCTAAGGGTGGGTACAGGTGAAGCACAGGGGGGGGGCTGCTCTTTAATGAGGCAGCTGGCCCTGTGAAGAGGCCCAATGAAAACAAGAGGGGGGGCGAGGGGGAGCACGGATGGAGGGGAAGAGGTTCTGCCATTCAGCTTACCCGCACTCCTGCTAATTTGTATTGAGACCTGCACTTACAGCTAGCATGAGGTTGGGGCCCACAGGCAGCTGAGAGCCCTGGGACAGGAGACAAGAGGGCCTGGGGCGGCCACAATAGAGCAGGGAGGCCGTGCCCGCTCCAAGCGTGGAACTCAGAGCATCTCCATCTCGGCAACAGAAAAGCCATGGCAGGAGAGGCCCCAGCAAAGGTGACATGGACCCTGCAACCTTCTCCTTTAGTTTCACCATGGGACAGGAGCTCTTTATTCTTTGCCTTCTGTTTTTGTATGGTCAGTGAACGCTGCTTTAAAAACCCTGCCAGTGATTTGCCAAGGGTGCCTTGCAACGTGTTAAGCAATTTAAAACAAGGTGAGAATGCTTGGGTATTTGGGCGAGAGAAGATTTCAGAGACTCCTCCCAAAGATGACCCCTTTAGCCTGTAACAGACGTCTTCTCTACCTTCCCACTCAGCCCCGCGCAACTCAGAGGGCACCACCCCGAGCCACAAGTGTGCAGCCCAGGCTCGTGGCCAGTGGATTCTCTATATTCACATAACTCATGCGAGGTCCCAGAGGCCACCCAAGCCACACAGTCGCCTTAGGACCTATCATGTGTGTCTTCTATGCGGTGTGCACACTATGCACCATTGAGCGATCCGTGTTGTCTTTAGGATTTCTGTAGGAGCCATGCCTAGAAGTGTGCCTTGTTGTTTTTAAAAAGGAATACTCAATAAGTGAGAAGCAAATTTCAAGGAAAGGAAAGAAAAACACCCATAATCTAGCCCTTCGCCCTAACCCCATAGCTGTTTTCACCTCCATACATAGTAGGTGCTCATAGCTTCTCCAGAAGCCTGAGGACAGCTTCCCGCCCAGCTTATGGGACATGCTCCATACTGCAAGGTTCAGAACCAAAGGAAGCACCTGAGAAAGCAGCTCAGCAGTCTTAGAGGCAGAAGTTACAGCGTGTGCGAGGTTGATCTTCCTGTAGATGGAATGTGAAGTCTCCATGTGTCTCCTAAGAGCATCCAGAGCCCACTGGCCAGTGCTGGGGGTGTCGGGGTAGACTAACGCCGACTCAGGTCCTACATGCCAGGAACACAAGGCAAGCAGGTCCTTGCATTCCCCTCCCCTCCATAAAATAATACTCTTTCCCTCATGGGATGTTTTCCCCCAGATCCCCAAGGTTGAGGCAGGATGCAGCTAAGAGTTATTTGCAGACCACAGCCCGGGGTCAAGTTGCTGAAGTTTATATACATCACAGAACCTGCGGGCCTTGCTGCTCCAAGAACAACTCATCCTAACAGATTCAACCAAGACAGGAAGATACGGAGAAAGAGCAAACCTCCCACAACATGGGCCAGCTAGGCTTTCCCTGAGCTCCCCAGACCTCAGTCTCTCCACGTGACCCCATGCCCCTGGTCCAAATGACTTGATAGTGGGATAAAAAGCAAGAGGGGCATTGTAGCTTTAGGCACAGAGAATATCTCCTCCAGAGACACAATATCTACGGAATCTCCAGTAAGCATGAAGTAACTCAGAAACCCAAGGGGGATGGTCCAAAGCATTCTGGTCCAGCGCTATCCCGTGGTACAATGTGAGCCACATATATAATTTTCAACTTTTTAGTAGCCACATTTTTAAAATGAAAAAACCAGGTGAAATGAACTTTAAAATATATTAAGATATTAACTCACGACAGCCCAAAGAAGATGATCCAAAAGAAATTATCATTCAGCCAAAAGAAATGATCATTTCAACATAATCAATATAAAAATAATTAATGAGCTATTTTACTTTTCTCCCCCATACTCTTGGAAGTCTGGTGCGCATTTTGCATTTTGAGCACATGTCGGTTTTGGATTTCAAGTGCTCAAATGTAATGTGTGTCTGGCGGCTCCTGCATTGGATGCCACAAATCTAGTCCACGAGCCGAAAGACCCCAAATGGGATAGATACGCTGCTTTGGTTTTCTCATCTGAAGTTAGGAATTCTTGGTATTAAAGGGGTCATTTCAATAATACTCGGGGGATCAGGGAAACACTGTGTCGATGATGAGAGATTTAAATTGCCTGGCATCTTTTTCATTGTGTCCTTTCTTTTTGTGTGATCAAATAATAGAATCTGACATAGTTCCACCCTCAGCAAAGACATTTTTCTGAAAACCCTTGTTCCCTGCTGCCCACCAGGCCAGCTTCCATGTGAGCTCTTGGAGAGTATTTATGGGGTGCTGGCAATGGCTCTGAGAGTCCACTGGATCTTTTTTGTTTCCCCAGGGCGAGTGAGACTACATTGGTCCTTCTGCGCCTACTCTGTCACCTGCGGATGGTCTGGGGCAGGACTGGCCAATCAAAAGCAGGGGCTGCTCTGTGCCACCAGAGCCACTGCCAGGTTGGGGGTTGTCAGAAACTGGACCATAAATACCATGGCTGCTCTTTGGGGGTGATCACACAGCTCTCCTCCAGCTGGCTTCTGGTGTGATGGCAGCCAGGGATGGCTGGCAAGTGGGTTCTGAAAGCTGATTTCCTTGGGGGACCCTCTTTGCCCAGGATTAGTATGTTGCGGGGGAGACAGCAGTCAGCTCATAAATGCAGCCTCCCTTGAGCACAAACGCAGGCTCTAGCTGAGGCAGTGTCCGCAGACCTTTGCTGTCCTGGTTTATACACTGATGACCTATATGGTTTTGAATAAGCAGCTTCACCTTTGAGTCTGCTTAGCCACGCATCCCTTCACTTGTTAATTTCACAACTACTTACTGAGCACCTATCGTGGGCCAGGCATCACTCAGTAGACAGAATAAGGCCCTGCCCGCATTTTAGTGAAGGCTGTGAGAAGAGCCAGGAAGAACTAAGAAGAATCTAAGCAAGGTAAAGAGGGCTGGGTGCTGTTTCAGATCTGGTGGTCAGGGAAGGCCTCTGAGAAGGTGATATTCAGGCAGAGAGCTGAAACAAGTAGGAGAGAGGGTCATAGGACTCGATGGAGGAGGAATGTTCCAGAAAGAAGGAACACAGGCACGAGACTCTGAGGCAGGAGTGTGCTTGGCATCCAGAGACTTGCGTGGCTGATGCCGAAGGAAACAGTGAGATAGGAGGGGTAAAAGGGGTTTCATATGGATGGGGGGATGGGGCATGTGGAAGACTGTGGATTTTGTCACAAGAGAGTTAAATATTCTGAAAGGTTGACTCTAGCCACTGTCTGAAGAACAGACTTCAGGAAGGCAAGCAGAAGTGGGGCGAACAGGGTGCTCCTGGGGTGGCCTAGCAGGACAGATGCTACGGGTCTGGGTCGGGGTGAGGCTACAAGAGTGGTTGGGATTCAGACTACAACAGACCAAAGACGTTCCAAGCGTGGAATCTGGATTTTCAATAAGCATCAGGAAGGTCCATCCAGTGGTGGGGCCAGTTTGAGAGGTGCTGCCAGGTTGGGGGTTGTCAGAAACTGGACCATGAACCCCAAGAGCACAATGTACAGGCAGAGAGGGAGGGGGCAGAAGGAGCCTCATAGGCCAGGAATCGGAAGGCCTGGCTCTGGTGCCAGTTCTGCCTCCTCTAAATCCTTGGAGAAGGCATCAACCCCCCTGCCCCCCCAAAGCCCAATCTGCCTTTAAATGTCAAAATGTAATTGCAACATTTATCTCCTAGCCTCATGGTGGGGAGCAAATGATAAGATAATATGGAAAAAGTATTTAACAAACTATACCCACCCCCAACACAGTGAGGAGCTCATTATCCTTATTATCTATGTGGAGAGATGCTCTTGTGAGGGGCTCCTGGTTTAGAACCTCTGAGCCTTCCTAAAATGCTAGACTCTGGGATGGGGGTTGGGATCCCAGTGGCTGGTTCTGGTTAGTGGGACTGAAGAGTGTAGGGCTGGGTGTTCCCACAGGCAGGTCTGAGACCGGCGGTTGTCTGGGGGAGGTCTCCTTCCCAGCTGCACACTCACCCCATTTTCTCTCCTTCTCTAGCCTTGTTTCCTGAGTGACCTCATCCCCTCTTAGTGACAATTCTTTAGAGATGATGCCCAAACCTGTGTTCCAGCCCCCAAATATTACCTCAGCCTTAGTTTCCAACGCCTAGCAGACATTTTTATCTGGATGTTCTACTGATTGCTCACAGGAATCTCAGAGGGAACATTGACATCTCTTCTCAAAGCATTTCCTTTCCTACCTCCCATGCCTAACGGCACCGTCCTTGCTAAAAACAGGGAAACTCCAGCCATTTTTTAATTCTTTCCTCTCATATACCCTCTGTCCCCCAAAATAGGCTTCAGTATGTGTCCACCTCAGCCCCGCTAATTATCCCTTTGATTTGTCCTTCCTGTAACCATCCCTTTTGATTTCCCCAATCATTACCATCACTTGAATTCACAACGGGGTCATTTCTTACCGGGATATTTCACTAACTTCTTATCTTTCTGACGCTCCCTTCCTTCCCCACCCTCTGTATACAATGATTGTCGGCTCTGGAAATCAAGCTCTGAAGATGTTACATGTCAAGTCTACAAAGTCGGTATCTTTTTTTTTAATAAATTCTGCATTTTCTTAGTGTGCCATTCAGGGCCCTCTCTTAATTTTCATTTTTTTCTCCTTGTGCCGTAAGGCCCATTGGCTGGCCTGATAGTTCATGAATGAGACTAATGTTTTCTCTCTTTTAAACCTTTGCTCAGGATGATTGTTACCACTATCGAGCACCTTCTGAGTCCTAGGCACTGTCCTAGGTCCTTCCTCCACAGCATCACAGTTAACCATCTACACAAGCCTATGAAGAAGCACATTCTGCTCTCCCGGTTCCGAAAGGAGGAAGCTGGTGCTCAGACAGCTAGGTAGCTCGTCCAAGGGCAGAGCCGGGAATGAAACTTGGGCTACCCGTCCCCCAGGTGTGCCCTTCCTTGCTCCTTTGAATCTTCTCTCCCCGGGCTCTCCTCCCTGCATTTCCACAAGGGCAGTCTTCCTGCCCTAGGCGCCACCAAGTTCTAATACACCTCCTAAGTGTGATGTGTCCTCCCTGGCACAGTGAGCGCCGGATGCACTCACCTTTATCGTCACTTCTGGACTTTTACTGCAAGAATGTTTTGGTCATCTCTGAGACCCATCCAGAGAGGTCAAATATCTTCCACAGGACAAGGGACGGTATGTTCTCACTGAGTTATCCTCAAGAGGGACTCTACCTGGGCCTGACACAAAAGAGTGTCTGCATTGGGTCATGAGCCTGACTCTGACCTGGCCTTTGAGGGCTGTACCAAGGCTCAGAGGGCTAGGTGGGCTTCCTGGCCCTGCTCCACCCCCAGCCCTCCGTTGTCTCGCCCTCTTTTGTCTCAGCTCTCTAGGGACTGACTCAGGCTCCCCGGCCCAGCACCAGAGCCCCACTTGCTGCAGGCACCCTAAGCGCCAGAAGCTGCTTAGGTCAGATCTGCTCAACTCAGACCCCTGGGGAGCGTGCCTCAAGCCTCCACCAGCCCTGCACCTGGCAGCTGGCTCTGCCTACCCCTAGAGCAGTGCAGGCCTGGCGGGCTTACCTGGATCCATTCATGTGGTCATACTCCCGCTTGACATTGACCCTCACCGGCTGATTAATCCACTCTTGCTGCGGTGGGAGGGGGTTGATTTTGTGGGGCTGGCCATAGTCAGGGCTCCCTGAGGCGGTCATGTCGGCCTTGGGGAGATGGGCCGCCGCTCCGTAGGCAGAGTCGAAGAGGGACTGGTCGTCGCTCACCACTGACAGAGCCTCCTGGAGGGTCAGAGAAGGAGACCGAAAGCCCAGTGTCAGTTCATCCCGTGTCACTCTTCACCTACTCTCCTTCTGAGCTGGCAGGGTGGCCCAGGGCTACCCCAGGGGGCGGTCCAGATTGTTGATCGACTCACACTCTGGGAGGCAAGTTTACCCTTATGCAAACTCAATGGGTTTTTTGCAGGTCACCCTGGGTGAGGAGGGATTTGGGACAGTGGGGTGGGGATGGGGAAGCCGTCGGAGCATGTTCCCTATCGGGTCTGTAGAGCGGAGCATGGGGAACAGGAGGCCATGAGCAGTGGTTCCCCAGGGCGCATGTGCAGCGTTCTGATGGAGCTTGAGCGCTGGGCTCTTTCAGGCCTCAGCAGAAACGCCCCTGACTAGCCGGGCGGAGCTGTCATGCTGGAAGGGGATATGAAAGTGAGCATTTATTTTATAGGTGAGGCCAGTGAGACCCACCCAGAGAGGTTAAGCATCCAGCTCAAGGTCACACAAGGGAAGGGTGGGGCCCAGAGCTGTGGTTGCCTCTAATTTCAGTTTCCTTATCTGTAAACAGGAATAAGAATAGCTTTTTCAGAGCTGATAGGTGGGCTAAATGAGAAAAATCTTGGTACAGGTGTCTAGCTTGAAGAAATGCCCAGCAGTTTTCATACGGGTTCTCCAGGATGTGCTGGTGCATCTTACACGGCCGTGACTCAGTTGGGAGGCTGCCTGCCTCCTGGGGACCTTGCTCTGTCATGCTGTCTTGCCTGACTCCTGAAGATGAGAGCTTCCTGTCTAAATTCTGATGATTCAGCTTGCCTAGAAACAAGGGCAGAATGTCAGCTCTGTGGATGGGGGAGTCCCTACGTAAGACCCTCAGTCTGCCCACTCATACTGTCCCATCCCCTGGTGCAAGTCTGGCTTGTGGAGAGATCTGGATGGAAGAAAGGAAGCCTTGCACTTGGCAGAGATCTCCTCCCCGCCAAAGCACCATAATAAGATGCTCCCACTATTCCAACCCCCCTCAAATCACAGAGGCCCCGGATCACAGACTGGGGTGTGATGTTCCCTATATCACATAATCACACCAAAGTAAGTTGTCTGCTTTTCAGAAAAGAAGGGAGCAATCTATAACCCAGAATCAATTTTTAATCTATGTAATCTATAATTATACAATCTATCATTGTGAAGATGAGATGGAATACTATATGGAAATGCTTAGAACAGTCTCTGGCACCTAGTGCCGCCTGATAAATGTCAGCTATGATGATTCCTAGTGCTCGAGGATAGGTTCTCTTAGGCTACTTGTTAGGGGCTGAATTGTTCCCTTAAATTCACATGTTAAAGCCCTAATTCCAATTCCTCAGAATCTGATGTATTTGGAGAAAGGGCCTTTAAAGAGGTGACTCAGTTGACGTGAGGCTCTTCGGGTGGACCCTAATCCAATCTGACTGGTGTCCTTCTAAGATATCTGGACACATAAGAGTCCACCATGCGGAGAGGCAGCAAGCCATCTGCAGCCAAGAAGAAGAGCCCTCAGAGCCCACCAGCACCCTGACCTTGGACTTCCAGCCTCCAGAACTGTGAGTAAATAAATTTCTGTTGCTTAAGCCACCCAGTCTGTGGTACTTTGTTATGGTGGCCTGAATACAGCACCTTTACTTAAGCCCTCCCAATATCTGTAAAATTACAATTTGCTCCACCAGCTAACCATTGCTGTTTCTCCCAGGGCCATTCGCAACCCTGGCAGGAGGACAGCCAGATTTCAAAGTAAAACGTTCTTCTGTGGCTGCTTCCGGCTGAGATCAGGGAAGAATTACTGGAACCTACTCCAGGAAGTCTGCTCCTGCACCAGAAAGCTTTGGATCGTATAGATATGGCCAGAGATGGCAATTTCCAAGCTGAGCTGCCTGCACAGTATTGAAAGCCTCACATGCCCCAACCAAGTGGGTATCCCTTGATCCCGACCTAAAATATGCTGGGATCCTTCTTCATTTTCCACCTAGTGCCCTTGTTTATGCTCAGAGGAAAGCTGGGCTTCCTGGAACCACTGTCTTTTGGTTATTAGACCCATTCTCCATGTCAGTTAGGGAGCAGACCTGGCTCCATATCCCAAACCAGTTTCGAGTTGCCATCCAGGCCCTTGGTGTTACAATTCCAAGTTGAAAAACGTGACATTGTAACCGTCCAGAGAGTTGAGCTTGAGTCCCTGAAATTCTGGGGGTTCTACACTAGGAGCAGAGATGCATTACCCCCTAGGACCTATAAGTGCACTTTTGGTGATAAAGGGGAACACTCACCAGTTCGGCTACAAAAAGAGACGATGTACGTGTAAGGAATCGGGTATCGTCTTCTACTATGGAGAGGGGCTTTATGCTTGGTCAATCATGCACAAATCTTGGAGTTTCCAATTAAAGAATTTCTTATCTCCCTTCCTCTAAGTTAGGAGAAAAGATGGTGGAATAATGGAAGGAAAGAGGCAGGACTGGGGATAATGATGCTCCGGGGAAGCAGGAAAGATCCCTCCCCTCATTATCCCCAAAGAGAGTGGGCCAGGAAACAAGAGAAGGCAGGGTTTCAAGTCCAAGGGGACCAAACAGGTGGCAAAACCAAGGTTCACAGCAACAGAAAACAGATGAGACAAAGCAGGGGTGCTGGTGGCAGACCATGGAGAGGCTTCTTAGGGAAATGAGAATGAAGAGCTTACAGGACAAAGGGTAGGGGTGTAAAGGGCACAAAACCTGTTTGAACTCATTTTGGAATGTAGTTCACAATCAAAGGAAACTTCAGCCAAGTGGCAACATCAAGGAGGAGAGATCACTGATTTCCTCCGGAACGTCACTGGTTCCTCCTGCCAACTAGTCTTCGTCCAGCAGTCCAGGCACGGGTGCTTCCTTGCCTTTCTCTGTCAGACTCTTTCCTCTCTGACAACACGCTTGCACACTCTGCCCTCATGCAGCCCACCGTGCACATCCCCTGGTCAGGTGGAGCTCCCTTGAAAGTTGTAAATACATCCTGCCACGACCCTGGCTCAACTGCCTCAAGAGCTCTCTCGATGTTGGCTGCAGCAATCTACTCTCATCTGCTTGTGTTCCCACAACTCAGTTTTACCCCAGCAGCCCCGCTTAGGTGTCACGACCCCCCAACTGCCACAATTCCTGCCCGAAGCTAACTGTCCCCACTGTTCCCCTCGGCGGGCCCTGCTCACGTACGCTTTGTCAGCCCCTGTGTTGTGGGCACCCTTTCTTTGTCCTTTCCACCTGCACGCACGTCTGATGCTTCCCATTTTCTAAGGTAAATGAGATCTTTGTCACCCCATGAAACCCTCCCTGATAATTCCGACTCATTTGAGCTTTTAAAAGCCCAGTGAGAAGGGGCAGCTGGGTGGCTCAGTCGGTTAAGCATCTGCCTTTGCTCAGGTCACGATCCCGGAGTCCTGGGATCGAGCCCCGAATTGGGCACCCTATTCAGTGGGCAGTCTGCTTCTCCCTCTTCCTCCCTCCCCCTTGCTCATGCTCACTCTCTCTCTCAAATAAATAAATAAAATCTTAAAAAAAAAAAAGCCCAGTGAGAATACTGCTCAGGTAGGTGTGTGCACGTGCACGCGCGCGCGCACACACACACACACACTTTCTCTCTTTTCTATTTCCAGTCATTGATAGAAAAGGGCTTTATTTTTTTTTCTTATAACAATATGGAGAAAAGAATTTGTGGTTGAGGGAGGCTGGGAAGAGAGAGAAGATGAAGGAGAACGACTCTGTGTTTAGCTTGCTGGACTGAATTAAGAAACTTAATAAGAGCAGGATGCCAGAGATGAGAGCCCCTAGGTGGGAATAATAGATCTGGGCAGCCAAACAAGCTGATTGAAAACCCTGGTGAAAACTTAAAGTTGGGGAGGAGAACATTCTCACCATCTCTGAAAGGAAATAACACCCCTCTTGCCATTCAAGGCTGAGAGCTATAGGAGCATCCCAAGACCACACCCCAGGCAAGTATGCTTCTGTCTTGAAGATGGGGAGCCTTCTCTAAATAGCTTTGGTGGCAGTGGGCACAGTGAGGGGGGACAGGCCTAGAGGAAAAGGCAAACGGGGAACACGGTGCTGAGTATCTGTGGCTGACAGACTTGTGTGAGAGCATCATGTTACTGCTGGGGACTCATGGGGGCCACTGGGAGGGTGGGTAACAGATATGGGTGTAGGCACCAAGGTACTGCTTTTATCATGTGAGAAGCTATTGAGCTGGTCGACGTTTCGATCGCATACTTATAGCTTTTTACACATGTGCAGCTCTTACTATTTTATGTCTTATAAAGCTGTTTGCTTTTACTTAAACTCTTAAAACTTCTAAAAGTTTAAACATGAAAATCTTACTTGTACTGAAAACTCTTTACAGGAAGGACTTGTTGGTTTTCAAGAACTTTTCGCGGATGACTTGTTGATAAGAATTTAATTTTGGGATGAGAGACTGAATTTAGAAAGACCTTCAGCATGAAATTCACCAACCATTCTCAGAGTGACTAAGTTCCTTCAGTTTGTTAACGACTTCACTTTTTCTACTGACTTTGGACATGACAGAGAAGACAAGTTATTATTTTAAAGACTGTTAAAATCCAGGTTGCTTTAGAACATGCTACATAAAAATTGACTTCAAAGTGAAAAAGACAGAAGGTACGGGCTCCCTAAGCCCATGTGGCCCTCAGTTCTAAGGTTAACCCTTTGGCCTCATAGTCATCACTGAGAAAGCAAGCCCTGGATTGGCTTAGTAATTGGGTTCTAAGAAGCATCTTTCCTTTGCTCTGCTGACTGCTGGGAGGCAAGGCCTATAATTCAGGATGCTCTGGTCCCTCAACCACTGAGTTCCTAGGCCCAGAGGGAGGCACATGGTCCCTTGACTCCAAGCACATCTGTACCCCACTTGACCCATCTGCCAGAAAGCTCAGGCAAGGTCAGCTACCTGGAGTGGCAGCTGGAGTTCTGAGCTAAGTGGTTGGCCCTATTTGCCCATAGAAATGCTGACCA